GGTTCAGGGTGTCCCCCGCCTACTGCTCGAAGACAGCTGGGATAGGCTCCAGAACCCCCCGTGACCCTTGTGAGGATAAGCAAATCGGAAAATGAATGAATATATATATACACAATACAATACAATACACACACACACATACACATCCATCCATCCATTTTCTGATCCGCTTCATGCTCACAAGGGTCGTGGGGCCTATCCCTGCTGTCTGGGGCAGTAGGCGGGGGACACCCTGAACCGGTTGCCAGCCAATCGCAGGGCACACACAGACAAACAACCATCCACGCTCACACCTAGAGACAATTTAGAGTGTTCAATCAGCCTGCCATGCATGTTTTTGGAATGTGCGAGGAAACGGAGTACCTGGAGAAAACCCACGCAGGCACATGGAGAACATGCAAACTCCACACGGGAATGCCAGAGCTGGAATTAAAACTGCCGCTACGTTATCATCCAAGCTGGTTTCTTCTGTCAATGTTCCCGAGGTGGCAGGATTTTCTTCAGCAAAGCCAAACAGTACTCGTGTTCACGTGTGGATGCCCAGATGTGTTCAACTACCCATTTATGAAACCAGAATAGCGTGAGACTCATAACGTGCTGATTGATCCGTCACGCTCTTGTTTGGCTCCAGTCACATTTCTACGCTGCCGTTTCTCTCCGTGGTAACGCTGGCCCGTACCGCGAACTCTGCTCGTCTGTATTCGACACGCCGGCTGACAAGGGAGCGTGAAGAACAAAATGAAGTGACTTTTTCCTGACAAATGGATCGACGTGGATTATTTTTTTTTTTTTTAAGTGGAGTCCGCGGCGGGATGCGTCTGCAGCAGTCGTACGCCCTTGCCAGAACGTAACCCGTCATTCCTTGCAAATCGACTGCGTAGGTTGAGGCAACATGCGATTTGTCATCGTTTTCAGCACAAGTACCGCGGTGCCTCACTTTTGCAAACGTTGACCTCTGTCGTCATTGAACTAAGACGTCACAAAACCAAATCCCAAACTGTATGTTGCCTAGTCAAAAAGCATCTTCCCTGTGGACCGTCCATCATTGCGTATTGCCCCACGTGTGTGCGCAAGCCAAGAAATTCCGTCGAAAAAAAGGCTCTCTCCGGTCATAAAATCAAGACGAATGAGCTGATAAAAAGGCTCTTATAACTGTGACCGGACGGTTATAAAAAGCTCTCAAATGCGCGTAAATCAGCCGTCGCTGTTTGATGTGATGTGTGGCGTGTGCGTGCGCGCTTTGACGGGCGGGCACGCTGGAAGTCGACGTTTCCATCTATTTGTCAGGAACTTCGGCGCGCCGCATTCCTTTGTGGCTTTTCGGCTCTTTACATTTTTGGAAGTCTTCACCGCGCGGACCGGACCAGACTGGATCGCGAGCCTGCGGAGAATCAGCGAACAACTCCCGTGTCGTGTTTGTTTGATGAGGATAATGAGGTGGCAGGAAAAAAAAAAATCCACTCTGGAGGAAAAAAAAAAAACTGGCACACCATGCAACACAAACTGCCACATCATGGAACAACTCATCTTTCGTCAATGCTCAACTTCAATTTCTCCTCAGTTTGCCCTTGAAATGAGAACAGCTTTGCCGTATTTTTATTATTTTTTTTACAAACAGTGAAATTAGATATCAGGCGCATATTGCCCATATGCTGATGTGTTGTAATGACTCGCATCTGCCCCGGAGAAATCTTTCCACTGTGACGTCACACGTACTTAGTTGGTTGGTTGGGGACTACTCAATAACTGTCATGGGAAACAAACCACGACATTGGGATTTTGTTCAATTAATATTGGGGGGAAAAACATGGCTTCCAGAATGCACCATAACGCACCATGAATGTTAGCACTAGATGTTGACTTGACGAGTCAACTAGTCAACTAGTCCATGTGTCGACTTTACAATTGCATTCTTGATGCTTATAGCTCGAGGTCAGTTAGTCATGGGGGTTCCCCGCGGCAAACAAGCAGCGGGGCTTCCACTGCGCGTGAATATTTGACAACCATCACCAAATATGCAAGTCGATCCACAAATATAACCAAAAACACAGGTGCTATGCACGCCCGTCTGAAAAGGCATCCGCTAACCCGAGCTAATGAGCGGCCGTTAAATTCAGCCGTCAGCAAACTCACCATCTGCCCACCTACAATTTTGAAGTACCAAAAAATTGCTGTAGTGCAGTGTTGTCAAACTCATTTTTGTCGCAGACCAGATTTTAGTGACAGTTTCCTTAGGAGGGCCATTATGACTGAAACCATAAAAAGAAGTTAAGAATAATGGGTTATTCACCTATTGTTGAAGTTACTGTCATGGCGGGTTTGGTAACAAGAAAATGCTGACATTATCACTGTTATTTATTCCAAATAGAATTTGAAATGTTGGCGGGGCACATAAAATGTTGTGCCGGGCCAGATCTGGCCCCCGGGCCTTATGTTTGACAGCTGTGCTGTACTGGTTGATCAATGATCAGATGTGATTGTGAGCGCGGATGGTTTTTCGCTTATGTGTGCCCCGCGATTGGCTGGCAAAAACCAAAGACGGCTGAGATCGGCTCCAACACGCCCGCGACCCTCATGAGGATTAGCGGAAAACTGATGGATGGATGGATTGATACTTTACACATGAGTGAAAATGAATATCGGCTCGAAATATCGGCTCTCAACCCCCCCCCTGACTACTAATAATCAGTATGAGCCCGGAAATGAAACATATCAGTCCACCCTCATCGCTCGTCGAGTTCATCGGCCACGACCGGGGTTTTCATCCCAGATTTCTTCCATTCCACAGGTTCTAGAAGAAAGGATGAAGCTGGAATGCAAGTGCCACGGCGTCTCGGGCTCCTGCACCACCAAGACGTGTTGGACGACGCTCCCCAAGTTCCGGGAGATCGGCTACGTGCTCAAGGACAAGTACAACGAAGCCGTGCACGTGGAGGTGATGCGGGCCAACCGCCTGCGCCAGCCCAGCCACCTGAAGGTGAAGCAGACTCAGGGCTACCGCAAGCCCATGGACACGGACCTCGTGTACATCGAGAGGTCGCCCAACTACTGCGAGGAGGACGCGGCCACGGGCAGCGTGGGCACCCAGGGCCGCCTGTGCAACCGCACCTCGCCGCACACGGACGGCTGCGACCTCATGTGCTGCGGGCGAGGCTACAACACGCACCAGTATACCAAAGTGTGGCAGTGCAACTGCAAGTTCCAGTGGTGCTGCTTCGTCAAGTGCAACACGTGCAGCGAGCGGACCGAGGTGTTCACCTGCAAGTAAAGGACCAGGAGGCCCGATCGGGACCATTGACAGATTTTTGCCATTGACGCGATCGGCTCCACACGGCATCGTTTTGCACACAAGAATCTTTACGTTGCTTTTCACAGAGTAAAATGCAAACTACCAGGATGCGACTTCATGCGAGGAGTGACTGCAAGATGAGGGACAGTCCATCCACCCCCC